CATGCTTGAAGAAAACAAATTACTCATACATAAATCAAAGTAATGCATTTACTAACTAAAAGCAATGAAATTTTAGAAACCCAAGTTAATAAAAATTTAAAATTTTGAGGACTTAACAGGATAAATAACAAATGTGGATACATAGTTCACAAGTGTAAAATAACCAAATGCGGCTTATGCCATGAAAAAAATGTGAACATGCAGTCCATGAGGGTTAGTAACTAAACACAGCCTGAGCTATAAAACAAATATACACACACAATCCACAAGGGTAAAATAACCAAACATGACTCAAGGCCACAAAAACCAAATGGGGGTACGAAGGCCATGAATAATAAACATGAGGACTAAGTTCATGAAACAAACTAGCTAGTTATTAACCACAGGGCATCACGAGCTAATAAAATTGCCATTAGTAGTGGTGTTTTGTATAGAGTCCACTTAAAAATCTCGTTTCAAACATGTGATTGAAATACTTATTTTTGAAATAAAATTTTCATTCTCAATATCAAGCTCACATGAATTGTTTCAAATATATAAAATTTTCCAAATTGACACATTATAGCAAATCTACAAACTTACATTAATTGTGTAACCAAGAAATTTCAAAATTCAATAAACAAAGGTGCCTTCATAAATATTAGAAATATATTTCTTGAGGAAAAAGAAATGCACATATCATAATGTAACTGTCCTTTATCATTGTTCAAAAATTTCTAAAACTAACATAATTCATACAAATAAAATATTTTAAAAAATATTATTAATAAATAATTAAATAGGATGCTATTCACTTACTCATTAAAGTCTCAAATTCTCAAAATATTCTTTTTTCAATTTTTATCATAATTTTCTTCTTCCACACACCTATAAAGACATGAGTAAATAAAATTTAAAAAATTTTATTTAATTTATAAAGATTTCCTTCTACTCCTAATACAATTCCAATCAACCATTATCATTTAAATTTCAAAACTAAATTCATGCTTTAAAGTTAGTTCAAGTATTATCATTCATATCCCTAATCTTCTCCAATTTGCTTCTGTCAAAACAATGCACTTACTTGAGGAAAACTTTTCTCTTAAGCTTTGCACCAAACACCTTAGGTGCCTTATTTCTATCCATTCAATTCAAAACATCCAACAATTTACAAATGACCTTACAATTCCTAAGAATTTTAATGGTTACATATAAATTCATAATTAAATTCTTTTGCAATCTTAAGTTAATTCATAGATCCATAATTTTTGTGCTTGCATACTTCTTACAAAGACCAATTAAATTTTAAAAATTCAAAATCAAGCCAACTCTCTTACTAGGCATTTTATCACACACTATATGAGCATAAACTATCAAGCTAATTTTAGCATTTTCTTCCTAAATTTCAGCTTCCCTAAAATCTTACAATATCACTAATTCAATCATTTTCAATTACAAGCTCAATTCCATACTATCAGCTCCGTCCTTATATAACCACAAATTTCAATTTAAAAATCAAACTTCCTCTTCCTATACATCCATGTATTTTTTTCGGACAGCAGCAACAACACACTAAAAATTCTATAACTTCAACCATTAGAATACCCATACACAAAGTTAGTGTAATAACTCAGAAATTTAATTAAAATTTATAGTAAGGCATTTTAACTATATATATATATATTAATATATTATTTGAGGTAGTTTAACAAGAGTGAACTAATGACTTAGTGGCAATGACTCTGAATCTTTATACATAAGTTTTGAGTTTGAATTTACCTAGATGTAGAAGGATTTTCTTTTTCCTTTCAGTCTAGGTGAAATTACTGTCATACCCTTAAAACAAAATAAAATAAGGAGAGGAAAATCAGAAATAGAACACGCATTAGGATTATTCTCCTATCCTCCTCCATTTTTGAATTTTCCAGACGATGCGAGAGGAAGAGAGTTCAGACCTTAGGCTCTAGTTTTTGTTCTTCCTCCATCTCTTTCTTCATCTTCAACGTCGTTGCCATGGATGAGGTTGGGAGTTCTGTCCGCTGCTGCTAGGGACTGAGCTGTGAGTATTCTTCCTTGGAACACTGTCGATTTCTCCCTTCCTCCCTTCGGTCACTGTTCTTCTTCCTCCTCTGATAGTGTCACATTGAGGTCTTCAAGTCCATGCTGTTGAAGCTAATTTGTTGTTGTAGAGGGTCCCGATTTGTGATCATCCCTCTTCCCTTGTCTGGCGAATACTCTGCTTCTGCCTCTGCCATTGCTATTCTTCGTCCTCTTTCTGCTATTGCTAACTTGAGGTGCGAGTCTTTTCTCTTCCTCCTCCCTGATCCCGTGATTGTGTCTTATTAGGTTGGGCTGTGATCTTTTCTATTTTTGATTGCTATTGTGCATGATAAGCAGGAGTAATTGATGTTCAGAATCTTACCCCTCGCTTTTCTTAGCTACCTTAGTCTATGGTGAGTTAAAAAAAAACACACAAAGAAAGAAAACAAAAACAATTGAGTAAACTAAATTGATTTCAATATAGTTGTCTTGGGTTACTATCAATGGAGATTAATCATAAATTTTTTCCTTTGAAGTTAAAACTAATGTTTTTGTTGAAGGGTATACTTTAAGAAGCTTGATTAGTCTAAATATTGTTATTTGAAAAATTTTTAGGAAGGGAATTGAGAAGGGGAAGCTTGGTATTTGTTTGAATTTTGATGCATACAAGATGGTCAATAAAATGCTTGATTGGAATAATTTCAGTGTATGATGGAAAATGTAAATAGAGATTTTTGAAAAGGGTACTTTCATTGGTAATTCAAGTACCAAATTGCTATTCGTGAATTGATCTCGTGAATATTTATGGAATGTTTGATGCAATATGAGGGGAGGAGTTGAAGTGAAAATTTGTATTATTTTAGTGAGTTATTTTAGATTGAAGATCTTGGGTAATAAAAATCTATAAAAGAAAATGAAAAATGGTGTTACCTGGTATTAGGATTTAGTGACCAAGCATTGTGACAGGAGGACCAGTTTGGAATAAGTTGTTTATTTAAAAAATTTACCAGGTAAGTGAATAGTACCCCCCATTATTTTACCAAGAAAAGTAGTCTGTTATTGAAAATATTACATCTTTATATAAATCATTTTTACAATTGCTATAATTAGTGAGTACTTTGTTAATTAAATTATTTTAGTTTTGGAAATTATAGAATAATGATGAAGAATAATTAAATTATGATATCTGCATGTATTTTTCGTTAAGAAATACACTTCAAGATTGATAAAGGCATCTTTGTTTATTTTACTCTAGAAATTCTTAGTTACTCAACTAATACAAGCTTGTACATTAGCTATGAAATATTATTATGGCAAGCTTTGAGATTTGAAATGATTCATGCGAGTTTGGTATTGAGAATGCAAATTATATTTCAAAAATGATTCTTCTTGCATGTTTGAAAAGTAATTTTTTAGAGGACTTTATATAGAACATTGGTTACTAATGGCAGTCTCGTTAGCCCTTAGCGCACCATGGTACACCTAGCTAGTAGGGTGTTTATAGGAGGTGCTAGCCCTGTGCGATGGCCAATGCACGCGAAACAAAGGGATAGTTATTTGTGAGCATCGTACTCACGTTTATTTTATGGCTTTAAGCCGCGTTTGGTCAGCATTACCCTCGTGGACTGTGTGTCCACGTTTGTTTCATTTGATTACTTATCCTCGTGGATTGTGTGTCCATGTCTGTTTTCGTGGCATTTGTCACGTTTGATTATTTACCCTCGTGGACTGTGTATCCTCGTTTGTTACCTGTTCTGTTAAGTCCTCAAAGTTTTAAAGTTTTAATCAACTTGTGTATTTGAAATTTCAGTGGTTTCAGTTAGCAAGTGTACTAATTTAATTTGCATATGGATAATTTGTTTTCTTTAGGCATAAAAGAATAAAGCAATTTCAATACACTCTTATTTTATGATTATGATTAAGATTTACATATTTATTAAGTTTATTATATTGAATCATCATTTTTCTAATTATTTTATATAATTGTTTGAGTTTATCATTTTTACTCTTTTAAAATTTCATATTTTGGGGATGTTATTCACTAGAAAATATTTTGGTCTCAGATTCATTAGCTGATGCTGAATCAATTGTCGATCACTAAAAGGATTGCCGTGGAGCTAGGTGAATATTTATTTTCAGAATGTTTTTTTTTTCTTTTTAGGTATATATTCAATTATGTACTTTATTTAGAGATTGTAATTCAGGTGCTCCACATTAACTATAGATGGGAAAAGATCTGTATAGTGAGTCCCATGTAACAATTCTAATTACCTAAAAGTCCCACAAAATGGATAAAATCTTTGAAGTTTCAATAGACTTCAGTGTAAATATTTTTTATAGTCTAATTACTATATTGCCTATGATCTGAAAAAAAAATGAAGCTATTATTATCTGTTGCCTTGTGATTACTCGTTGTTTTGTTGAAATTACATTTTGCTTTGTTATCAATTTCAACAGTGTATAACTTTTTTTAATTTAAAATAAAATTCTTCCCTCTGATAAACTATTTTTTATGTACTAGTCACCCTAAAAGTTAAAGTGGTACAATAAGGATCATGAAGTTCTAAAACTAGAAAATTACAAATAAATCCTTTGAAATTACAAATAAATCTTCTAAAAAAGTAATAAGAATTAATTCCTTCACAATTACAAATAATTAAATAAAACCAAAATACCATTTGAACAAGACACTTTGACAATCTTTGATCGGCTTATCAATCATCAAATCGGTGCAAAAGTGACAGTAAGTAATTGAAAAAAAATATTATGTGTGATTTAATAATTTCGTAACCCGTTTTATAATTAAAAGATTCGTTGCTTGCACTTTACACGAAAAATTTTATAAGTGAGGCAAATAAATTAAAAAAGTTGAAACACCATTTATCGAATTATGAACGACTCAGTCGTTGCAGAAACTTAATATATATAAATGCAAAGGGACGACCATTTCAACTTCATTTATTGCTAATTAGACCATTTCATATGGGGACCATCTATATTCTCACGGCCCATAAAGATTGAGAATAAGCAGTAGAAGAAATTGCGAGAGCTTCAAAGAAAGTGAGGAAGTATACTGAAGCATGGGATATTCAGTGAGAGAACAAGTGTGGTGGGTGGTGGTGATTATTATATTATTGGAGCTTAAAGATAGTTGTGAGGCGTGTTTGGAAGAAGAGAGAGAAGCTCTTCTCAAACTGAAAGAAGCTTTCAATCATCCAAACGGCTCGTCTCTTCCTTCTTGGAATAACCTTACCAATTCTGATTGTTGTAGATGGGAGGGAATCATCTGTGACAACTCTACTGAGAGGGTGATGAGCCTTCTTCTGAACTACACAAGAGCTCAAGAGTTTGAAGACATCAACTGGTCATTGAATGCTTCTTATTTTCTCCCTTTCCGCCAACTTCAAACTTTGGATTTGTCTGGAAATTACTTGTCAGGTCTCTCTCTCTCTCTCTCTCTCTCTCTATATATATATATATATATATAATACTCCCCAGATATCTGTTTTATGATTTGTGACTCATGTTCGTATCACCTGTGCAGGCTGAATTTGAATCCTCTCATATATCATTCTTCTCTGTTCATCTCAATTTTAACTTGAATAGTTGTTGGATGAGTCTGAATTGTTATCAAAAAATGCTGTATCCATTTCTTTCCAATCGTTTAGAATATAGATTTGTGAAAAGGGTCGATGTGAATTGTTGAATCAATCTAATTACTAAACTTGAAATATAAGCGATTGCATGCAATGATGGTTTTTATTTTTTAATTTCTTAAAATTTAGGGAGAATGATAGTTATGTCTCAAAAGAGGAAATTGATGACAGTTAGGTCATCGACGAATTTAAAAAAAAAAACTTGTAAATATTGATTCAAACAATTTCAAATTTAAAAGGTTTAATTGCAAATATAATATTTAAATTCTAAATATAACAATTACTTTTAATTCAGATTTCTTTTTATAATTTTTTAAATTAATACTTACAATTTATTTTATAAAAAATTTTGTTAGGGATTTAATTATCATTAATTTATTTTTTTAGAACGTTGTTGTCATTCTCCTTAAAACCTATCGAGGAGCGCAATATTTAATTAATTAAAATCTGGTATATGTAGGCACAAAGTTCATGTTTATCTCATCAAAAGTATCAAATTAAAAACATGTAATTCATTATTTAATGTCATATCATGTTTAACACATATTGTATTTATGTTTTATGGAGAAGTTTAATAGAGAAGTTTATCTCATCAAAAGTATCAAAGATATATATTTAATAGGTACAAAGTTTATATGTATGTATATATATATATATATATTAAAACAATATATTTCATGTTATAAAAAAATAAATAGAGAAGGGATCACACGAAGTCAAATGATAACTTTGAATTCATGTTCTTGTAACATTATCTTAGAGCTCGTTTGTTTCAAGATCTTATTGGAGATGTATTAGAAAGTCAATGATTGGACCACTTGTGCTCCCATCTTTGACTTTGTGGTATATCTCAAAAGGTCTGAGAATTGAACCAAATGAGCTCTAAGAGTAACTGATGATATTTGTTAATGAAGCAGGGCTACTTGGAGAAATTAGATTGGACAACTTGCAAACTTTGAATCTGGAAGACAACAAGCTCACGGAAGTCCCGTTCCTTGGTGCATAATTTTTATTTTCCTAATTATTTTTTGATGCCATATTTAAAATTTCTTGTGATCTCCTTGGTTCTTTTTTATTTTTTTCGGGAGAGATGAATTGAAGTTTAATTAGAAATCGTTGAGAATATCGATAGTTGGATAAGATGCTGCTTTTACTTAATATATGATGGTAACATGACTGAAAGTAAAAGAACAGGGATTATTGAATCATTTAGTACCTTGATCAATGAATTTTGACATCTATATATAAATTAAGAAATAGCGTAACCAACCTTAAGGATATAAGGGCATCTATAAATAAATTAATTTTTATTCAAAAAGGAATATAGCATGCAAAGAAAAGAAAAAAGACATAAAACTTGTATACATGTGTTTTATTTCCTCATTATCATATTTTAACATATTTCTATATTATATTTGACAGGTGTTTCTCATTCACACAATTCGAAGACTTTGAAGGGTAGTCTTCCACAATCTAATGCGTCTCGTACATCTCTAGCCTCCTTGCAGACGTTGTCCTTTTATAAAAATAGCCTGGAAGGCTCCCTACCACAACAAGGTATTATATGATCTGCAGCTTTCTTTTTTTAAAAAAAAAAAAATTAGGGTAAGGGTATTTTTGGTAAGGCACAAGGTTATAATATCATCGACTATAAAGATTAATCTTAAGGGCAAACAATAAAGAACATGGGACTTGAAGTAATTTTATAATTTCATGAGATTTTTTTGTATTTAGATTACTTGTGTGAGATCTTATATAATAATTTTCCCTAAACAATATTTATTGAGATTGAAAGAAAAATATTTAAACAATAGTTTTGAATCCCTTCCTATTTTTTGTTTGTATAGTCTCCTAACCTACCTACCTACATACATACATACTAAGCTAGCCTTATGTCACATCCCACATTAGAAAGATTTGTAGAGGGTCCTAGCTATATGACAGGTTACACAATCCATTGGATTAACTTTTTGGAGAGAGAGTAATGCTCTTGTGATAAAGTAATATTAGAGTCAAATTTGAGTTTGTCCAGTTGGTGGGCTTCTCTGGTGGGCCACCCATAACGAGGGCGTCATGAATTGGCCCGGACAGCTATCATGTCCCACATTGAAGGAATTTGAAAAGAATCCTAACTGTATAAGTAGGTGTGTTGCACATCCATTAGATTAACTTTTTAAAAAAGAGTAATGGCTTCAAGCCACTTAGGTGGCTTTTTGCCGTTTCGTTTATTTATGCTTTGGAACTAAATTTCCCAACATTTTGTAACGAACGGGCTTAATGAAACTTGCATTTCATTGGGATATACTAAATAATGGGCCAGGGGATAATATTGGGCTATGTAGTAATGAGTTTAGGAGTATGACGATGCTATTTAGTGAGAGTCACTTTCCTTTCTGTACGACTTTCTTCCTTTCTGTACGACTTTCTTCTTCCCTCTGTGCTTCTTCTTTTGCTGCGCTCTTCTGTCACTTTCCTTTCTTGCTAATTTCCTCAGCTATAATGGTACTTTATGTCAGTGGCTATTTTGAGTAACTACTTTGTCTATTTTATGTATTCGTCACTGAGAAATTGAGGCAATAACACCAATCATCCGACATATTTTGTGTTCATATTTTGCTATTAGATTGAGAACGTTACATAACATTTGGTTAGCTCATATTCACTTTTAGGCTTACAATTGAGGATTTTTTTGGCTCAAATATTTAATCTAAATTCATTTGTTAAGTCGAATTTTCATTTCAACTGGTTTAGCCCAATAGGAGCCATTCTTTAAAAAAAAAATTCCACTGATCTCAAAGTTTAAGCTGTCACTTAAAGACTCATAGACAAATAAAAATAATAAAAATAAAGAAAATTTATGTGTTGCAGATGGCTTATGCAATCTGAAGAATATGAAAGTATTGTCTCTTGGCCACAACAAGTTTGAGGGTTACCTTCCTTCATGCCTCAATAATATGACATCTCTTCGGGTGCTTGACCTTCAATACAATGGTTTTGAAAGACCCTTTCCTTCCTCACTCTTCCATTCTCTAAAGTCCCTCATATTCATTTCTTTAGAAGAAACCTATTTCACTGGCATAGCATCACTTTTCTTTGTTTGCCAACCACTCCAACCTTCAACTCTTCTCAATCTCGTGTTCTAATAACCCTAATCTCAAGCTGAAACTGAAAATCCTCAATTCATCCCTTCCTTTCAATTAATTATTCTTAATGTCATCCAATGCACTATGAATCTATTTTTCCCAACTTGCTTTCTTTGACCTGTCTGTCAAGTTTATTACAAAGGTGGATTTCCAGCTTCACTAGGTGACATGAAGCAATTGAACTCACTTGACTTGTCTAATAACAATTTGTCTGGCTATTTGCCCCAAGAATTTGTAAGGGTGTCAATGACTTGAGGATTCTAAAGTTGCCAAACAACAACTAACTGGCCCATTTTACCAGTTGGTTCAAATTTCACCCATTTGTTGATGTGGATCTAAGCAGCAGCAACTTCACAGGAAAGTACCAAAAGGGATGATATAAGAGTTTGGAATTAAGAATGCTAAATTTAAGTACAACCAACTATATAGTGAAATTCCTAGCTGGATTGGAACCTTCAAGCACTTGGGTTACCTCATTTTGTCCCAAAATTCTATGACAGGTCGAATACCAAAAGCTTTTGTAATTTAGCCGAGCTTACATACCCAGACCTTTCACAAAACAAAATCAATGGCACTTTGCCAAATTGTCTAAATATGCCAACACTGAGGTACTTGCATTTACGAAGCAATCATTTTTTGGGATCCATACCTTCTGTCTTGGCCAATCATCCTTGCTGTTAACTTTGGATTTGACAAAATAAATTTTCAAGTCAAATTCCAAGGTGGTTCGAGTCAATGTTGAATTTAAGGGCCCTCCTCCTAAAGGATAACAAACTTGAAGGATCCATTTCTATGCAAATGTGTAAGCTCAAGAACATAAGTATACTAGGTCTTTCACAAAATAAGCTTTTTGGAGGGATACCACATTGCTTAAATAACATACATTTACGAAGAAGGATCAGATAGATGGAACCTTATTGGGAATTTTTTTTTTGTCCCCTGGACAACAAGAGCCCGGCATTTTACTTTAATTACACAAGCGATGATCTTGTTCATGAAGAATATGAACGAAATTCTACATGGTATGAGAAACAAGAGGTGAACTTCATGTCCAAAAATAGGTATGAATCATATACATACTAAGCTAGCCTTATGTCACATCCCACATCAAAAAGATTTGTAGAGGGTCCTAGCTATATGACAGGTTACACAATTCATTGGATTAACTTTTTGGAGAGAGAGTAATGCTCTTGTGATAAAGTAATATTAGAGTCAATTTGAGTTTTGTCCAGTGGTGGGCTTCTTACTTTAGTTACACAAGCGATGATCTTTTCATGATGAATATAAACGAATTCTACATGGTATGAGAAACAAGAGGTGAACTTCATGTCCAAAATAGGTATGAATCATATGAAGGAAAATCTTAGAGTTTATGTCCGGCCTAGATCTCTCAAATAATCAATTGACAAGGTGAAATCCCTTTAGAAATTGGATACTTGAACAATATTCATACATTAAATATGTTAGACAATTATTGACTGGGCCAATTCGAAACATTTTCTAGCCTTAATGCAAATCGAGAGTTTAGGTCTTTCATACAAACAACTTGATAGGCCATATTCTTTCCCAACTTACACAATTGTACCCTTTGTCTGTATTCTTCTGTGGCTCACAATAATCTATCCGGGAAGACACCTGACATGAAGAATCAATTTTCAAATTGGATCCAAGTTGTTATGAAGGGAATCCTTTTCTTTGCGGTCCACCTCTACAACACAAGTTTTCATCTATTGATAAACCATCATGGAGAAACATATAAACCACGTCATTCAAAAGAAGTGGGCTTCAAAGATTTCTTCTTATGGAGTTTTTCAGGAGCATTTGGAGTTTTCTTTCTAGTGTCATTGCCTACTTGTAGTTTCAACTCCTATTTTTATATACAAGTAAATTGGAAGAGAATTGTGTTAGTGTTTCCAGTGTAGATTATTCCAAACCTTAAGAGTGGTTTTTTGCGGGGTTTGAAGAGCATATTTAACAGGAAGAGTTGACAGGAAGACAAGACTCAAGCTCAAGTTTATCATTATAATCAGAATCTTTCTTTTGTAAATGATTTGAGCTGTGTTTACTCAATTTGAATACTCATGTGATTTTGCACTCTTTTAATACTGAATGTCATGACTTGAAAAGTTCTTCCAAATTTTTCAAATTATTGTGAGATAAATCTTTCTGTGTTGGCATCTTTGGTACTTAAAGTATTGCATTTGACTTTTAAGTATCTCTTTAAACTTATCTTTTGCCTCTTAAGCAATTTTGATTAATTTTTCTTATTTGAGTATCAAGAGTAGTACTTGATTATAACCGCTTTGGTTTTTGGCTTGAAATTCATCTATATGAATGCTAGTCGATTACTATAATTTCTACTCGAGTATAGATGGTTAAAACACAATACGTAATTCATAATTGGTTCAAGAGTAGTTGAACAATGTTTTAATTTTTTAGGAAAATCATTATTCAAATACTGCATTGGTATAACCCGACTATCATGTCGTGCTTTGTATCTTATTTCACCAAAACAAAGAGTTTATTTGTCACGCCCCAAAAATAAACGTGATCGGCATGGAATATGTATATAAAACCATATTCCTTAAGCCTTGGACACAGGTTATTACAAAATAAATATAATGTCTTTAATATTTTTCCATATAAACCAAGCATTAATTTCTTGTAAAGAATACTTTATACAAATGCTCTTCTATAATTAAGGCTTCTCAAAATTTTCAACAACAAAGAATGGCGATAATTCAACAAAGAAAACTCTAAACCTACCCCTTACCAACAATATACAATCTTATAGAAAATATGAATTATGCTATAGTCTACATGGAGCATCTAGGACCCAACTAAAAAATAATTCATGAGTCTAAATTTCATCAAGTTAGATTTTTTTCTAAAATAATTCTTGCTCCTCATTTCCACGACAAATCCCCTCAATAAATACCTTAAGATGCAGATTGAGCTATAGCATCTGAGACCAAAAACATTTTTTCCAATGAATAATGTCCCAAATAATAAATTTAAGAAAATAAAATAAAATAAAATAAATGGAATTAGCATGAATTTGACTAAAATACTCATTTCGAATAGCAAGAGTACATAAATAAAACAATTTCATTCTGACCCAAAATCATCTTCATATAATGAAACAAAATGATCCAATTTCACTCTCTAGCTATCAAGCTCATGTCAAACAATTAGGAATGTATTTCTTCGTTATAAAGTAATCTATTTATGAAAATCAACTTGATTAATAAGATTCATTTTAAAAAAAATCTCAAAATATTCTTTAGCAAGACTTTATCAAAACATATAACAAGTATGAACACAAAGTTCATGAAAGTAAATAATCAATAAGTGTGGACATATAATTCATGAGAGTAAACAATTAATCAAGTGTAGTTGGGAGCTACAAAACAA